ACCCCTGACTATTCGTACCTTTACTCCCCATCCACTCCCATCGTCGAAGCGGTAAATGAGGAGAGGGGGCCTGCGGTCAATGTCGTGGAGGTGGGTAGATAGGCCACCACCTTTTTTTTTGCCTTGGTAGCGATAGTAGGGAGGAAAAGACCCTTCATAGCTCCATAACCATTTGATCTTTGAAGCACTAGCTTGTATATCTCATAATGCTTAACTACGCCCGACAAATAATTCCATGGTAAACATGCTAAGCAATGCCATGTATAAATACATGTAAAATTTCATAATTAAGTTTTTTCGAATATTAATAATTCCGAGTAATTTGAATACAATTACAGGACACATAATTCCAACAATAATGTATGAATCAAAATGAAATTCCAATCTATAAAAGTGAACTCTCAAATAGTACAAAACCTATAGGTAAACATCCATGAATGAGATATGAAAAGCTCCATGAACCACAATCTCCAAACACACTAAGATTGTATGGCTCTCCAAACTAAAAGAACAAGCTTGCCAAACTATAAATAGTACACAAACTTTTGAACTGTACAAAAAAGAAGAAAAATAGACGACATCCCATTGACCATTGGACTGAAAAATAGGCCATGTACTGAAAATTCCCAATGTTTCCCACGAGGGCCGAAATGCGCGTGCCCGTAGCAGACCACCCATTTATCCACGCTTTCACAAGGCGGGGCGAAACAAAATGCTAGGGCCACAGGCAGTGCAGACGCGGGACCCCGCAACGCCTGCCGACATGTGGGCCCGTCAAAACGAGCCAACAACGTGTGGATCTAAAAACTAGTCTCCGGCTTGTCCCGTTCCAGTCACCCACCGGTAAGCTCACCGCCGTCGGTGGCGAGTTTATTTCTGGGCAGCGGCCCCTTCGCGTATATATGCACGCAATAGACGCCAAGGGGGGGAAGGAGGAGAGGAGACAGAGCGAGAGAGCCGGAAGAGAGGAAGAGGCGAGCGACGACGAGGAGGAAGAGGGAGAGGTTGTTGGTGGGCTGTTGGGAGGAAGCTTCTGGAAGCCGCCATGGGGGACTCGAGCGGGTCGGTGTCCATCGACGTGGAGCGGATCTACTTCGGCGGCAAGGTCCGTGCTCGCATTCCGGTTCTTGATTGGTTGATTGATTCCCCCCCTCGGTTCGACGGCGGGGGCATTCTTGCGGGGAGGATTGATTTGTGTAGGGCGGGCTCCGTGGGGTTCCCGTTTGCTCTTTTTGTTTGGTCTGTTAGGGTGGTTGGGCAGGCAGAGGAGCTTGTTCTTGCTGATTTCTGCCCCTTTATTCTTATTAGTATCCCCACCTGTTCTTAATTAGTTGCAAATTGAGGATGCTATGCCAGATTGTTAGTATGCCTCCTCCATGGGGGAAACAGCAATTTTTTATTAAGGATTAGAGATATTAGCTGCTGCGTGGCTTGTTATTTATTCTTGGTTATGTTGTGGTTGCAATGCTGCTCATGAGTAGGAGCAAGAGGAAATCAGGCTTAGAATTTGGTACTATTTCATTTTAAATGTATAGTTGCAACGGCCCCTGGTTTACGATTAGAAGCATATGAAGCAACGTCAGGAAGCGTGCTCATGCTATTTCTGTGTGTTAAGCAACGTATGGTGTCTGTTTTTACCAAGGGAGAAGTATTTCTGGACTCTGGTCAATTGGGGATGGTCTAAATTGGAATAGCTTGTTTACAGCTGTTACTAAATTTGTGTCCTTTTGCCATGTGATTCATCAGGAGCATCCTGTGAGAACAAGATACGGCTCTGTATCCGTCTCCGTGTACGGCGACGAAGACAAGCCAGCGCTCATAACGTACCCGGACGTAGCTCTAAATTGTGAGTGCGGTCGTTTTCTTTGTGGTTGGTGTTATAAATTTTGCTATAACAAGGTAGCTCATGCGTTGTATTCCTGTTTGGTAGACATGTCCTGCTTCCAAGGATTGTTCTTCTGCCCAGAGGCTGCGTCCCTGTTGCTTCACAATTTTTGTATTTACCATATCACTCCGCAAGGCCATGAGGTCAGTCATCATCATCTGTTCCTCCATATTTTACATGATCATCTACTCCTATTACCTCCGGTTCTTACATGTTTGTCTTTCATGGCATCTGCTGTCTTACAGTTGGGAGCAGCTCCAATTCCATCGGATGTACCTGAGCTATCTGTTGATAATCTCGCGGATCAGGTCGCGGATGTTCTTGATTTCTTCGGGTAAAATATCTGATAATTGGCTTACTTTTTTTCCGTATTCTGTTGGTGCCTAAAGGAGTCCTCTGATGTTATTGTGGCATTGCTCTTGCAGTTTAGGGTCTGTGATGTGCATGGGTGTCACCGCCGGTGCTTACGTGCTTACCCTCTTTGCAGTAAGTTTTTTGCATGATTAGTCCTTCAAAGCTTGCTATTTGATTTTGGCTAACAATTTGTTTTATATGTTATCCCAGGCAAAGTACAGGGAAAGGGTTCTTGGCCTGATGTTGGTTTCACCTCTATGCAAAGCCCCATCTTGGAGTGAGTGGTTGTATAACAAGGTAATGATTGCTACTTCAGTTTCAGCCATGAATTTATCAGTGCCTTATTTCTTTATGTATACTAACCTCATATTCTGATCTTTCAGGTATTGTTAAACTTACTTTATTATTGTGGCACTAGTGGACTAGTGAACGAATGCTTCCTTCAGCGGTATTTTAGCACGGTATATTTCCTCCTCCATAAGCTTCTTCTGTTTGCACCATTGTACCTATTTAAGTCCCACTGAACATCTCTTTTTGCTATATACAGGAAGTTCGTGGAAGTGGACAAGAACCTGAATCGGAAATTGTTCAGGCCTGTAGAAGTGTAAGTATTTTCTCCCCTTTGCAGCTTTCTAGTGTTTTTCTAGAATGTCAATTATCTCTACAGTTTCAACATCTGACTGAGGTCATGATTACCTTTTTATGCAGTTACTTGATCAGAGGCAGGGTGTTAATGTATGTCGATACCTTAAAGCAATAAACGAGTAAGTAAACAATATCTTTGCTAGGCATTGCCTGTAAATGCCAAACAAATTTGGATCTGAACTCACCCAGTTCATCAACCTCTCCATCTATCAGGAGACATGACTTAACTGAAGCACTGAAGAAGCTCCGGTGCCGGACGCTGATTTTCGTGGGAGAGAACTCGCAGTTCCATGCCGACGCTGTCCACATGACCACAAAACTAGACCGGAGATACTGCGCTCTAGTCGAGGTACCGCACATTTCAACAATTCATGTGATCACTTGAGAACCATACCCAGAGCAAGGCAGGTTCTGAGCAGTGTTTTTGTGGGCAAATCGCAGGTTCAGGCATGCGGGTCGCTGGTCACCGAGGAGCAGCCACACGCAATGCTGATCCCGATGGAGTACTTCTTGATGGGATACGGGATGTACAGACCGTCCCAGCTCGAGAGCAGCCCCCGGAGCACCCTCAACCCGTTCTGCATATCGCCGGAGCTGCTGTCGCCCGAGAGCATGGGGGTGAAGCTGAAGCCCATCAAGACCCGGACCTCCCTCATTGTCTAAACAGCATGTGGGGGGAGATCTTGGATGGCCTGACGACACAGCTCGCAAAAAAGCGAAGACTGCTTGGTCGAGCTGATCGGAGCACGGTCACCATCGGGAGACAAGTTTTGATACCTTCCGGTACCTTGGCACGGAACGCATTGCATAGATCGAGATCGATATGCTAATGGCAGCATTTGCTGTAGTGGATTGCTGTAAGCCTGTAATCTACGTCTTCTGGGATAGGCAAGCAAGGGGAATAGGGTTGAGGTTGTAGGGGAGGAATACGGCTGTTTGTTTCTTTGTTCATATATGCTTTGTAGTAGTCCACATCACATGTGTATATGTCATCATCAGATCATTTCACACGGGAAAGCAATATATATATATATATGGTAAAGCAGAATCCTGTCTGTTGTGGAGTCTCGGGTCGGGCACAGGCTTTGCCTTTGCTGAAAGTTTAGCCTGACTGGCTGTGATGTGCCCTGCTGGTGGCGAGCTATTGCTGTGTGTGTCATGGATTGGGTGATCCATTGGTGGTTGGTTCGTTGTGTGTGGGTGAGTGGTGGTTCTGCCATCGATGGCTCTGGTTCCTTGTCACTTTCCGCTGTACCAATTATATTGGACGCATCATCTCAAAAAAAATTTATATTGGACACATGCAAAGCATTGTGTGTGCACGCCATTCCACCAAGCTCAAAGCTAACATAAATGGAGCTCAGCAGCAGCATCAACATTGGACACATGCAAAGGTTGTGTGTACTTAGTGGAACAGAGAAGACCAACAAACACCGTCAAATAGATAATTATGCAACAATTGAATTTAGATTTGGAAGCATAATCTAATAGTACTAGGCATACACACATATAAGATACCTGTAGGAAGACTACGATGCTGTGATTGTCTCTGTGGTGTGTGCATGAAAAACAGAAAATAAGCCAAAGCTGCACATCTTTCTTCTTCTATATAAACCGCGACGAAGTTCAAGCCATCCTTGTCGTAGGGTTAATGAGAAGATCTCTTGCTTCACGGATCCGTCGCATTTTTCTTTGCCAATTGGTATTTCAAGCCTTTCTTGTCACTGGTAGAGTCAATGGAGATTGTTGATCCTTCAACAGCTTCTCACTCCCATTGACCAGCATCTTGGAGATAGTTGTCATTATGTTCTTCTCTATCCACCTTTTTATGGGCCTTGCACCATACAACTGTGAAAGGCCAAGTAGTGTTGGTTATCAATAACATGCGGAAAATGGTTCATTATTTGAATAGGCTAGATTTTATGATTACTTTGAAAAGGGAAAAAAAACTTACTGGGTTGTGTGATTCTGACAAAATGACATCCAACGCAGCATCACTTAGAACAAGAGATATGCCCTTGCCGGCTACTCTAGCAAAGGCACTCTTCATTTGGATATTCACTATCTCTTTCAGTTGACGGTGTGAAAGCGGCTCAAATACTACAATCTCGCTTAATCAGTTGAAAAATTCGGGCTTGAAGCATTTTTGAACCTACACCAACAAATACATATCATAATGAATCAACGAGCAGCTGCTTACTAAATTCCAAGTGGACTATTTGTGATTCACAAACCTGTTTCATGAGAAGATTTCGCGAAGCAACCGTTGTCTTTTCTCCAACCACTCCTACATTTAGGTGCTCTGCCCCAACATTCGAAGTCATAATGATAATTGTATTCTTGAAATCCACATTATGCCCTTTACCATCAGTCAACACACCATCGTCAAGGAGCTGAAGAAAAACATTCAACACTGACGGATATGCCTTCTCCACCTCATCAAAAAGGACAACACTGTACGGGCGCCTCCTAACTTTCTCGGTCAGTTGTCCACCATTTTCATAACCATGATAGCTTTACGAAGAAAAAATAATTGTATAAGTAAACATAAATACTGTGATATAATAATACGTTGCTTGAAATTAAGGTGTGTGTATTATAAATGAAACCTTGGGGGTGCTCCACCGAGACGTAGCACGGATTCGGGACTAACATACTCAGACATATCAAAGCGAAGCATCATCTTCTCACTACCAAATAGTTGTTCTGCAGGAGCTTTCGCAAGTTCAGTTTTTCCAACACCCGTCGTGCCCAAAAAGAGGAAGGAGCCTATCGGCTGACCAGCTTGGTGAAGGCCAATCCTGGAACGCAACACTGCTTCTGCAACTAAATTGACGGCCTCATCCTGCCCAACTATTCTCTCATGCAATCTGTCGGCTAAGTGAATTAATTTGACACTCTCCTCTTGATTAAGCGTAGCTATAGGAATTCCAGTCCATCCGCTCACAACCTTCAAATGAAAAACCTAGTTCAAACATAGTACTACATGACAAGCACACACTGTCGAAATAGTAAAAGTGACGTGCATGCCTACCTGTGCAACATGATTCGGCGCAACAACTGTATTTTCTCCTCCTAGCTCTAATGTCGTGCAGGCCTCGTCAATGAGATCAATTGCCTTATCAGGAAACCGACGACCTACACATACAGAACAATGATATCACAACTCGGCTCACAAGCAAATTTCGTCTGAAACAACTGTAATACTACAATAATGCAGCAAAATTACTATAATCACCTGCGATATAGCGGTCAGCGAGGTGTACGGCAGCGTCAATGGTAGCATCAAGAATTTCCAAGCCATAATGCTTCTGGTACCGGGGTTTAAGCCCCTGGAGGATGGCAATGGTGGAATGCGTGCTCGGCTCCTCAACGTGCACCTTTTGGAACCGCCGCTCGAGTGCAGGATCCTTCTCGATATACATGGAGTACTCATCGTCAGGAGTGGCGCCCAGACATCTTATATGGCCGCGAGCCAATGCTGGCTTCAGCATGTTGGCCGCGTCCATGTGGGTGCCCGTGGCCGCTCCGGCGCCGAGAAGCATGTGCATCTCGTCGACGAACAGGATCACCTTGCCAAGTGCAGCCGCCACCTTCTTGAGAAAGTCCGTCATGCGCTCCTCGAACATGCCAACATACATCGTACCAGACACCATCGCCATGAGGTTGAGCTCAATGACACGCGCTCCGGCGAGCTTGGACGGGACCTTCCCGGCGACGATGCGCTGCGCGAGGCCCTCGGCGATGGCCGTCTTGCCGACCCCGGCGGCGCCGACAAGCGCGGCGCAGTTCTTGGTCCGGCGACAGAGGATGCGGATGACGCGATCAATCTCGTCGTCACGCCCGATCACCGGATCGGCCTTGCCGGCCATGGCCGTCATGTCCCGGCCGTAGGTGCGCAGGCATGTGATGTACCGGAAGTACCTCCACGCCGCCCAGCACACGGCTCCCACGCAGAGCACTTCACGGGGCGACACTTTGATGACATGGCTAGACGACGTATCGTCAGGTACGCCGGAGGAGCCCGTAGTCCCTCTCTCCATGATCCTATCAAGCCATGACCAGGCCATGGTTAATTTTGGTCCTAGGCACGAGAGAGCTCGGCGAGTTTCGTCCGCCTCTAATTTCCAGCGTCCCCTCCTCTTCCTTTTTTCCTTTTTTGATTTGATGGACGTTCTTTCTTCCATCACCCTGTATATTTATAGGTACAACACACATACAAGGACCCTTCACAATAGTTTGGATCAAAGGTAAGTCTGCCGTTCATATGGAAAGTATTACTATAATTTGCTCATGCTAGTGTTCGGAACAGTTTCTGACTGCGCGTTCCATTTATAGATTTCCCCTCTCAAACGCGCTTGCTGCATCAATTGAACTCAACCCAACCCAAAACTTTGAACCGGAAAATAAATGAAGTTGTCAAAAGATGCTACCTGAAATCTCCATCAGCTTTAAACTCGGGCAAAAAATAAGGAAAAAAGAAATATAAAATAGCTACCCACCAGGATTTTACTAATCTAGAAGCCTCAACAAATTTTAGAAGCGGCTTATTTTTTAAGCTGGGGAGAGGCAACTTACTCCCTCTGTTTCTTGATATAAGGTGTATAGATTTTTAAGAATTTTTTTTAAATATAAGGTGTATTGCGTTGCACCACTTGTTTGAATAATTATTTTGGGGATTTGATTACATTTCTTTATATGAGGCAAGCTCCTCTATTTTCTCATGTCATTTAGTCAGATTTAATCTCGCCCAAAACTTGTAAAATTTTTCCTCCACGTGTGTTCTTTAATTTCCGCGCCAAAAACTATACATCTTATATTTAGGAATGCAGGGAGTATTTTTTAAGCCACCTAAAAGAACTGGCCCTTTGGCTGTTTTGATTTCCAACTTTTTTTAGGGGTAAAAACCAACTTTATTCATCAAAAGCCACATGAAGTGGGATACGATTCTGGTTATAAGGAACACCAAACCAGACGTGGCGACCATGAACTCTAGAAAGGGAAAATCTAGCTAAACTATGTGCTTCATAATTCACAGCACGACACTCGAAAGAAAACTTACATTAGACCATAACAGCTTTAAGGTTAATCTCACTTATTATTGCTCCGTATCTCCCTCTAGCACTTCGGTTGATATCTGACACTCCTTGCTGGAATGCACTTCGTCACGGAGTGTATGGGCTTTGTGTGATGAGGATGTTGACTTCCAACTACCAGCAACTAGGGGCGTGTTTGGTAGCCTGCATGAGGCCCGGCCTGACTCGCGCGGAACGGAAACGGGTCGATTGGTTGCCTGCTTTCACTGTTCGGCCCGCATGGCACGAACCTTAAAGTACTCTTGGGCCTGGCTCTCTGGGAACGCACGAATCGGCAGTTTCTCTAGGGCCAGGCCTGAGCGGTGCACGTGGGCGGCGGCGGCTGCACACGCGCGGCCACGCTCGAGAAGCCGCGTTGCTTCCCGAAGCGCCGGCGGTTATTAGCCTCACCGCCCCTCACCGCTCCTTCTCCCCACTCTCCCCCACTCTTCCAACTCTCACCGGCGGCGGTGAATCAGAGCAGAGCAAGAAGACCACCGGACTCCATCACCGGCGAGCGGATCATCAGTTGGCCCGCGGCAATGGCGGCAAGGACTTCTCTCTGTTCGACATGCAGAACTTTTTCCCGTTCGATCCGGCGATAGATTCGATCCACGAAGGAGGGGAATGGGGAATAGAGGTAGATAAGCATGTAGAGGTAGTTCATACTAGTTCATATGAGTTCATAGTACTTCAAACTAGTGCATACAAGATCGGAATAGAGGTAGATGCGGTCACCAGAAGGGGGATTGGGGGATATGGGGTACACAACAGACACCGGCTCACCGCGGCGGCCGTCACCGGCGTGCGGAGCAGCAGGTCGAGCCGCTGGCCTTCATCATCGTGCGGGCCGACGGGTCGTCGTCGTCATCCTCGGCGGAGTCGAGGTCGATTTGCCAGGTACGACGACCTGGCTCCGGCACCCTCGCTGGCATCTGCACCGCTTCTTCCTCCTCCTTAGGCTCCCCATCGATGACCGCCGGCGGCGCGATAGCCGTCTCCCAGTACACTACGACACGACGGTCATTAGGAGCCCAGTAGTTCTTGTACTTGCACCACTTCTTCCTTTGTTTACCGTCGTCGGAGACGGCCTGATTCATGGCCCATCGAATGATGTCAACTGCCATCGCGCCCTTCTCTGGGTCAGGAATCAACGTCTTTAGCTCTTCTGCAATGGCCTTCATGAGCACTGCATTAGATTCCTTCTACATGTCAGGCATGGAGCCGAAGTTCGAGCACACCTCCATGATGTTCTCGAACTTGGTGCGGTCACCAGCCGACCACCCGAGGAAGAAGGCCCTCCAGCCAATACCCCAAGGGAAGGGGTTGGCGTTGGCGTTGGAGCTGGAGCTATAGTTCATGGCGATGGGGAGGAGGAAGGTTGACAGTGAGAGAAGAGAGGGGGTAGGTAAGTAATGTTGGGCAGGGTGAGTAAATATAGGGGCGATGGAGAGGAGGAGAAGAGTGACAGTCATGCCGTTTTAACTACATGCTCTTCAATAAGCCATGAACTCTGTGCTATGCTTGATTTCATGAATTGTGTGCAGATCGAGGAGAGCAATGAGGTGCTCCCGGCCGTTGACAACAAGGGCAAGCAGCCCCTTCACCCAATGCCCGACGAGGTTGTGTTGCCGCCCACCGCCGAGGAAGACCCGAAGATGTCCGAGGGTGGTGACGACGAGGGCATGGAGGAGCCCCTCAGCAACAAGCGCCGCAACTACGACCACTACCATCAGGAGGATGGCCTGACTCACTTCTGCAAGGTCATCCTTGCACCGAAGCTTGAGTGTATCCCCATGCCCCTGGACTTCACCAAGCACTTCGTCGCAGTGCCGACGGAGTTCAAGCTCAGAAACAACACCGGCTGCTCCTGGAAGGTGACGGTGAAGCTGATGAACGGTAGGGTGACCCTGGATCAGGGTTGGGCCTCCTACGTAGCCGTTCATTAGATCAAGATCGGCTACATGGTGATGTTCAACCTCCTCACTCCCGACACCCTCAAGGTCATCATCTTCGACGACGATGGCATTGAGGTCGTCATCAAGTGCGGGAAGCACGACGAAGCCTTCGCCGCCAAGGAGTAGGGCCGGGGCCTCCCTAAGTACTATCAAGTCTGCTTTGAATTGTTTATGTTTATGGTTTATGCCTAGAGCTGTTATGAAGTGTGGTACTGCTTATCTGAAATATGCTCTTAAGTAGTTGATCCTCTGTTTATACTCTACTCTGCTTATGATGTGTGCTACATGGTTGTGCCGAAGTGTGCTGGTAACCTCACCAACTAGCCAAAGAGGTTACCACACACCAGGCGTTGCATACAACCAAACACCATGTCTTGGGTTTGTCCACTAACATGTAGGCAACCAAACACCAGGCAGTGTGGTTTTGCCCATGTAGGCAAGAGGGCATGCAGGCAACCAAACAACATGCAGATGGTGCATTTGAGGCTGTATTTGCATAGCCAGGCTGAGTTGAGAAGGCTATGCAATGCAACTACTGTTAGATACGGCAACCAAACACGCCCTAGAGTTATTCATCGGTGTGTCCAGGGCTCATTCCAGAATAAGCCCACCCCCTTGTGTGTTTTTTTAAGCAAGTAAATTGACTTTGT